CGCAACCTTTTGTCACCAAATTACGCGAAATCAACTTGGGGGTTTGAAATTTGCAATCAAAATAATTAAAGTATTTAATAGGGAATTTATGATTTTGCTTGGCTTGCACGTGAACCAAAATTTCAAAAGCAAAGTATGGTAAATATCTACTATTTAAATTCCACTTTTTTTATTATAATTGATTTGTCTATTTTCTATAGTGTTTTGCTTGTGGATGATAACAAAAACAGGGGCTCATTTTTTACGTAAGTTGTTCTTTATTCTAAAAAATTCATTTTTTTTCTTTTTGGGCTCTACAATTAACATTGTGTTCAAATTTAATTTTTTATTTAAATTTTGTTGAAAAGAACCCCTTTCTTCTTTCAATTCGTTCCTAAAACTCAAATATAATATTAGTGCATAATTAAACCAAAAAAATCCTTTCTTTGCGGTCGAATAAAGGTTTTTGTTTTACAACTACTAAACTTTTATTCATTTTTAAAGACTTTTAGTTAAGGATTTCGAATTAGAAAATAAAAATATCAAAAATTTTTATGTTTTTTCTTTCTCATTTTATTCCTCAATATCGTATATATAGTTTTCCACTTATTTATCCCTTTTCTTATATAACATCAACATAATTATGTATAAAAATATATATTTTAGGCAAGAAAGAAAAAGGAAGAAAATATTTGAACTATATGTTGAGATAATTTTTGGTAAAGCTTTTATCTATAAAAAGTTATCTAGAAGGCGGAGAACTATACACATAGATAAATAGGAAATCGAAAAAAAAAATGGAAAAAGAAAATCTTTTGATTTCTATTGAGAAAGAAATTGTAGAAATTGTAAAAATGAACATTTTTTCTTCATTGGTTTTTATATAAAAAAAAGGAAACTAAAAACAAAAATTTGTGGTTTCTAACAAAAATTTCAATCTCGAATTTAAATTGGGAAAAGAATAAACATTATACATAGCATTTAGTCGAAAATTATTTTCTACTTTTCTATTGGCAAATGTGATAAAATTATCTCTTGTATACATATATGGTCCTTCAACAAAAATTCTAAAAATATTTTTGTTGCAAATTCTCTTTTGAAAAATTATCTACGATATGCTGTTTTATCTGTCCTTTTGACGATATTTTAACATTTAAGAATTCCAGTAGTATCAAATGAATTTTTGAATTAAAGCGAAATTGTTTATTAAACAAAATTGCTTAAAATACTGTGAGAACAGTTACGTTTTGCGACAATATACCCATGGCATATCTCTATGGCTTACCCGATATCAGAAAAACTAATGTAAAATTTTTGGAAATTAAGTTATTTTTCATTTTAATTACTTTACTTTCCCAACTGTGAATAGTAAAATACAAACTTTCAAATAAATACACCAAAAGACTGACAATGTAAGTATGTGTACTTATACTAAGTACTTATACTATATAAAAGTAAATTGTTTAATCCGGTAATAATTTTACTAAAAATGCATAAAAATATTTTGAACAGGAAGTCTCGAACTTTTTCTCAGTTAGAGTTTTAAAAATTTTTCGCTGAATAGCTGAACTTTTAGGAGAGTTTCTAGAGTCAAATATATAAAATTATATTGTTCTATATCGAATTTACCAATGTTGGGTTTTGTGCAAAACATACCTTTCTTAATTTTGTTATCCAAGATTAATTGATATTATTCTTATAGCGAAAATTCTATATTAAGATGTAAAAATTTCCTAAAAGTATGCAATATACTTCAATTATTTGCAATTGTTAGACCCAAAGTGTTTTAGGCAACTTTCAATTAATTTCAGATTATTTTTTTTTCTTGAGAACAATTTTAGTATTTCGAATTTTGTAAAAAAAAAACCAAAACTTTGATTTTTATTTTGAAAATTTCATTTTAGTTCCAAAAATTCGCTTTAGTTTTTTATTTTTTTCTTTATTTTTGTTTAGAAAAGAGAAACGATCAGATATACTAATATTTTTCAACTCTTATATTTGAAAAGTTAGATAAAGGAGTTTTTCTTTACTTTTGTGTTTTTTTTTGGTTTTCTATTTCTGGTATATGCAATTTTTCCCATACAATAACTTATGCTTTTTTTTTCTTTGAAATAGGCCCGAGGATAACTGAAAAGGGATTTCGATATGATGATAAAACTTGTATACTATAGATATAAATAAGAGAGAATAATTTATAAACTGAAATATAGAGATTTTTAAGAATGTCGAACATGAAAATAAGTAATTTTCAAATTCCCGATGTAAATAAATTTTAAGTTTTTTTTCGTGTTTTCTTTTATACACACATGTGTGGTAATTAGAATTCAGATTTACACATTGTGAAGCAACGGACCATTTTAGTTCCTTTTATTTTTTTCTTTTTGTATTCTCTGCATAGATAAATACAAAAACTTTTGAAAAAATGATAAAAGTTAACTAAAATATAATGATAATAGAAAGTTGTTAAACGTTATTTGAAAATAGAAGATTAAAATGAGAATAAGCAATTCTTGTTAAGTGAAAATTGTATGGTAACCGCGAAGATATGTGAATTGAAAAGATTGGATTTTAATTTTTTCAAATGAAAGGAATATTACGGAAAAAAATTTTAATCTTGTTTTAAAATTAAGGACACCACTAACATTGTTGCAGTGAATAAATTTACGATGTAAGTAGTTGTAACATTGATGAGAATAATCGATTTTTAGAATGACGAAAAAGACGAATTTTTAGTATTTTACAATAGATTGATAGATAAATCCAAACATTAACTCTTTTCATCCAAAATTCATAGTTAATTGAAACTCTATATTTTGTAATTGTACTCTGTTCTTTCAAATCAAACGTTTACTGAATGGATCAATTACTCTGAAAACAATAACTTATTTTGACGTGCGTAAACGGCAAGAATCATTTATTACAAACTTTAAATTTTTTCGGAATATAGAAAATTTTTCAATGAAATTGTCTGTTCTTAAAAGCAGCTCTTACAATAAATCTTCTCTTCGGTCCTTTAATGCAATATTTTAAGGTCTTACCTTGGGCAAACACCGTTCAATATTACGGTCTTTGATGCGGTGAAGTCTGGATACTCATCAAATTTTACATCAAATTCCACGTGATTGTTAAATTGTTTGTAAGTACATATCGCGCCATTCTATTTAAATTAAGTTTTAGTTTAATGCATACCATTTGGCTGTGCCATAAAAAATCGATTGACGTTGATTAAAACCTGTCGCTGGCGATAACAGTTTACCTTTTCTTATTCTAATTTTAGCAATTGTGCGTTACCATATACTATGTTCCTTTTATTAGATGTAAAGATCATTCCTAAACAACTTTCATATTTATTTTGCTTCATTCAATATTGGAAATTTTGTTTATTAATGCCGCGTTTTTGAACGTTTCTGTGATAAAAATGTGTCATTTGCTGAATAAAGTTAGAAAAGATAAACTGGTCTTTCACTTCAGATAGGCCACGCGGATAGTAAGAAGTACGGAATAATCCTATTGAAAAACATTTTAAGATATTACGAAAGTAAATATTGAATGAATACAACGAATGCTACGGTGAAAATTTCACAGAAATTTTTTCATTTACAAAATATTCAAATTATTTTATAGAATCTTATATATTCTTCTACATGAGTTGATTTTACATTTTATTATGTAAGTTTTTATTATTTTCTATTTACTCTTATTTAATAATTGTTTTGAATATAATGTACATGTAGGACTTTATTATTCAGGCTTCAGAAAATCTTACTGTATAGTTTAAAGATAGAAAGATGGGAAAAACTTTTAATGTATGCGTGTATAATTTAAAAAACTTTACAAAACTTTGAATAATGTAATTGGTCGCGTAATATTCCTCATAGACAAAGGTTATTCATCCATAATGGTATTTTATTATTACATAAGTTTTAACGGCAGATGAGGATGATACGGTAAATATGGTAAGTTAGAAACTATGGTTTTAATGGATTATGAATGACATAAAATATATTGTGTAAAGGTTCTCATAGTTATAATATACTAGAACCTGCGCTTGCCTTTGGGTTATTGATTTTTTCATCGAATTTCTAAACTCTTTCATGTTAGAAAAACTTATAGTTTATTTTCCAAGTTATTACATTTTAATTTTTCCAAGCCAGTTAACTTTGATTTATTTAGTATTACTAACTAACGTATAGCAATAATTTGGAAATATTCTCAATTTTTGCAAGAATTTGAATATTGCCAAATCAGCAGTTTTTTTCGAAAATTTTGAGAATAAAAAAAACATGAGAAGCATTTGAATAATTTTTGGAGAATACGCGAAATTTTTATTTCCCTTACACTTAGGAAAGAAGCATGCATAGTATGTGTCTACAAGTATTTCAACTGTACAAAACTATTAATGATAAAATGATAACAATTTATCAGAATCGACAGTGTGCGTTTTATTTGCTCACTGTTTATTTTTTACAAAATAAGTACATGAAACATTAAAAACACATGTTTTGGTTGCAGTAGCTTAACATTATCTGTTTAAATTGCAAATATTTTCCTTTCCAATTAGGCATGTTTAATTTGCACGGTATTGCCAGTAACTGTTGTGATTTTTATTGCAGGCTTATTTTTTTTTCGATTTTACTACTTCAGAGCGAAAATATTAAAAGAAGTCCGTCTGTTTTTTGTGATTTGCAGCAAATTAATAATTCCATTTTCTTTTTCCAACCATTTGTTTTAGGTTAACTCATCACTTAATATAATAGAATAATACAGAGTAATATTTCCAAGCGAAAAACATTATAAAAAAAAACATTAAGCTTATGTTTAGCAAGTAAGGTAGATTACGTTGGTAATACGACCACTTCAACTTCATGATACACTTGGGAGGCAATGATTTCGACAAACATAATGTACAAAAATATTGCAATATTTGAATAACGATAACTTCTGGTTTTTATCATTCTATAATGTAATTGTGATATAAGTAGGCAAAGATTGTTTATACGATATTCATTTGTCAATTGTAATTAGTGTAGTGATGAAAGGTTTAATCTTTATTGGAGTTATACATTTTATGTTATGCTGCCCAATCACCGCAGATTGGTGGAAAAATGGAAATTTTTATCAAATTTATCCACGTTCATTTCAATCATCTAGTGATGGAAATTCTAAAAATACCGGAATGGGTGACCTTAATGGTTTGTTCTTAATATATTTTTAAACTTTTTTGCAATATTTGATTTTTATGACAAAATACTTTTATTTTTCCTTAAACAGGAATAATTTCTCGTCTTCAATATTTGAAAGAAATTGGAATAACTGCAGCATGGCTTTCTCCAATTTTTACATCACCAATGGCCGATTCAGGATATGATATAAAAAATTTTACTGAAATCGATTATCGCTTTGGAAGTATGCAAGATTTTGAAAGGCTCTTGAAACGTGCCAAAGAACTTAATATTAAGATTATATTAGATTTTGTGCCAAATCATACAAGTATAACATCTACATGGTTCGAAAAATGAGTTGCAAAAATTTCACCATATTCAGATTTTTATGTTTGGCATGAAGGGTATGAAGACCCAAATAATAAAACTAATAGATTACCGCCCTCAAATTGGGTATAATTTTGCCTTCATTAATATTTTGATTACAGATACTTAAATAAAAATTTTGAATAATAATTCTTACAGATAAGTCAATTTCGTAAAAGCGCTTGGTTTTGGAACAAAGAACGAAAAGCATTTTATTTACATCAGTTTGCACCGCAACAACCTGATTTAAATTACAGAAATCGAGAAGTTCATAAAGCTATGAAAGATGTTTTAGAGTTTTGGCTGAAAAAAGGTGTAGATGGATTCCGGATAGATGCAGTTCCCTATATTTATGAAGCTGATCCGAAAAAATTTGATGGAAAGTACCCGGATGAAAAAAGAAATGAAACAGTTAATGATCCTGACGATTATGATTATCTAATTCACGATTATACTGTAGATCAACCAGAAAATTTAGAATTGCTGTACGAATGGAGAGAAATTCTTGATAACTACACAAAGAAATTTGGTGGTGACGAGAAGTATTACAGGGTTTTCTAATTTCTAATGGCCAATAATCAAATTTTTATTTTATAGAGTACTAATGGCTGAGACTTATTCACCATTTGATATTGTCATGAAATATTATGGTACACCAAAAGTTCCAGGAGTTCATATTCCATTTAATTTTCTGATAATAAAAGACTTGAATTATAATTCGACAGCCAAAGATTATGCTAACACTATTAATACATGGCTTTCTCAAATGGATGGCTTTCGTGTTCCAAACTGGGTAGTAAGTATTAACTCTAAAATTTTATTACGCTAAAATTTTTACCTATTTGGCGATGTGGATTTTGTCATATATTTTAAGCTTGGAAATCATGATAAAAATCGTGTCGGGACCAGAATGGGATATGATCGTATCGATTTATTGAATATTATTATAGCTACACTACCAGGTATTTCTGTAACATATCAAGGAGAAGAAATTGGTATGACTGATGTATGGATATCATGGAAAGATACTGTTGATCCATGGGCATGTAACTCAAATCCAGAAATATATCAAAAAATTTCAAGAGATCCAGCTCGTACTCCTTTCCAATGGAACGATAATGAGAATGCCGGATTTATAAAAGGTAAAACAATCTGGTTACCAGTTGCAAAAAATTATACTATAGTTAATGTGAAACGACAACGTCAGATTGTCAGAAGTCATTTGAATGTTTATAAAGATTTAATGCGATTAAGAAAACTTAATGTATTTAAGAAGGGTTCAGCAAAAGTTTTAGCTATCGGAAAGAATACTTTAGCAATATTAAGGTAACTGCCATCAATTCTTTTTAATACAGTTTTAATTTCTTGTAAACAATATTTTCAGAAGTTTGAATAAAGTTGAAAAATATATTGTTTTATTAAATATTGGAGATGATGTCGAAGAATTAGATATCAATAAAATTTTCGAAGGCATTCCTGAGAAATTAACTTATGTTTTAACTACAAGCAGATCAGCACAAAAATATGGGTAATAGGTTTTTTCATTCTTGTTGCAGTGTTTAAAAATTTTTTAATAAACTTAATTTCTTTTAGATCACAAATTAGTAGCAAAGGTTTCGTATTATTACCTAAAGAAGGAGTTATTTTGAAATCCGGTCCTATCTAATATTATTACGTATATTATTGCATATTACGTTATTATTAAATAAAACTATGATCAGAAACTGAAGTTTATATTTTAAATAGGACCTATATCGAGTACAGCACGCCAGCGTTTTAAGTTTTTCATGTTTATTAAAGACAGGATAGTGTAAAATAAGGTGCGAATAGTGAATTCAATTTCCGTCACTGTAAATTTTATATTATTTTCAAAAACATGTACATATATTTTTGTAAAGTGTCAATATTGCAATTGCTGTTAAATCAATTAAAAAAAAATAGTAAAATTGCATAGACTTTATAGAAAACGGCTCTTTTGTTCCGAAAAATTAAAATTTCATTCTTTTTGATGTGTTCATCGACGTGTGGTCCAATAAAATAAAATTTAATATTTTCTTTTTAATAATTTTACATTGAACACGCTTAAATAAACTCTTTTATTTTCTAAAACTTAATATTTTACAACGCTATATTATGTATGAGTGTGTGTAAAGTTTTTAGCGCTGGTGTCAATCAAACAATTTCGTTACCGTTTTTCTTTACAAAATTTTTAGTAAAAACAAAAGGTTAGCCAAACATTCTGTCCAATTGAATGACTTGTGATAGTTTTCTTACTTTTTTGTTTTTAGTTTTTTTCCCCTATAACACTGTGGTCGCTCTCAATTATTTTAGACATTATAAAACATAGGTCAGTCACTTTCATATTATATTAATAATATAGGCCCTAAAAATTTTATATTGTATTTGGTTTCTTTGTTGATGCGGAAAATTCCAAAAAAAGCAAGAATAGAAATTTATCTAGATGTTTATGTTTGTGTATAGTTTGTGCAATATGGTTGTTTGCTTTTATTTTTAGATCAGTTTATTTGAAATATGTTGAAGAAACTCAGTTGAAATTTGGAACGTATTACCAAATAAATTTTTTTTTTATTTCTGGTTTGGTTTTTTTTTTTCATAAACAGAAACTGAAAAAAAAATTTTTAATTTCTAAAGGATTATACTCGTATTTTATGATTTTTATATTTCTGGTTATGTACTGGTAAGAGAGAACTGAGCTGATTTAGTAGCACTACTTGAAATTGCAATAAAATTTCAAATAAAATAGGACGACGTTGCATAAATTTTGATAATTTTAGTTTTTATTTCTTTTTTTGAAAAAAAAAAAAATTTTTTTTCGTTAAAAAAAGCTAAAAGCAAAAATTTTTTTTCTCCATTCAACTGAATTTATAAATGTTACAAATTATATATACATACAAGATGTATCAAAATGAGTTCCAGATTTAGTATAAAAAATATAATTTTAAAAAAATTGCATACAATAAGGCGGTTACCGAAATGGTATGTTAAATACCCCAAAATTCTGTAGGTACAAAACATGCACATAAATATGTAATAGAAAATTTAAAATTGTAAAAATTTCAAAATAAGATTTTTCTTTGTAAAAACTGTAATATTGCCGTAGCTTGAACTTGAATATAGAAGATTATTTCAAAATTAAGTGAGACAAAGCTTAGTGGTTTTAAAGGTAGCATTAAACTGGCTTATCAAATTTTAAATTTTTAAAATAAAATCAGCCCATTTGTCTGTTCGTTTATAAAACTTCTACACTTGTTATACTTACACAATCTATAGAAAAACGAAATTTTGTATATACTCGTATGTGTATAAACTTTAGAGAAAGCAGCTTTTAAAGCGCAGAAAGAACGAGTTTTTGTCACATTTATTGCTTAAACCGAAAATAAGTTCATAAATGCGAAGAATGCGGAAATATGAAGATTTATTTCTGGTATCCTAAAAATCAGAGATACCGCAGGTTGCTAAATGAACAGAAACTATTAATTTTCATAAAAGTAATAATAAAACAGTACAGATATTCGAAAAATAAACTAATTTTGTGCCCTAATTAAATTAAAAAAATTTAATTGTAATGTAAGATTGCAGGATTTTTGTTTAAAATTAGAACTTTGAATTTTCTCCGAAATGTATGTTATGTAAAAAATTATTAGAAAATCATTTCAATTGAACTTTGAAATCTGAACAAGATGACAAAGCCTCAGATTATCTTCAGATTTTGAAAAATCACAAAATTCTATTAGTACATTTTCTTCTCACCTTGCCAAAATAATAAAAAATTGTTATTTTTCAGAACAAAAAAAAATATTATAACAGTCGCATTTAAAATTTTTTTTCTTTTCTTTACACTAAGGGAGTTGTAGATAAAAAAATGCGAAACAAAAATATCTACAGTGCTAGTGAGACAAAAAGAGAGAGAAAGAGTGAAAATAAAAGATAATAAGAGAGAAAATAGTGAATAACGACATACATTGCCGTTCAAATTAAGTCAAAAGTCCATTGAAGCTCTATAAAGTTACAAAATGACTATGCAAGTGATGGGTAAAACTTTTGGCTGACATAAAAACATAAAATTTATGACAGAAATGTTTTGCGAAACACAAAAAAAAAAAAAACGAAGAGGGAAAATGCCAGTTTTAGGATTATTTTTGTGTTTAAAACTTTTAATTTTTTATCGGTTGAACAGTTTTAAGGGTAGTAAAAGAAGAAAAAATAATTTATTTATAAAATTTTTTTTTTTAGTTTTTGTTATACGAGTTGAAAATAACTTTAGTCGCTGAAGAGCATAACTGCAACAAAAAGTGAGGTTATATGTAAATTTTTATTTTTTTTTGTGCATTCATACAAGTTGAGTATTTTTTTTTTACCTTTGCCTTTGATAATTTAAATATGAACGCAGGTAAAGTCCTTCCTACATATATCTACATAATATTTTTATGCATGATAATAAAAATGACCTCGTGACAAATGTGGTTAATTTGTTCTCTCCTTTTTTTTTTTTTTTTATTAAAACGAATGCATGCGACATTTTTATTAAAACAAAATAAGAAAAAGAAGAACGAAATTGATAACGGTATTTGAATCTTTCTTAAATTTTACTATTTAAATTTTATATTTATTTTATATGCTTATATGGCTACAGGCATTGACATACTTTCATTTTATATCAAGTCGATTCTTTAAAATGTTGAATGCCCTTTAGTAATTATACAAGAGGTAAATCAATACATAACATTGATTTTAAATAAAATAACAATAGATCAATATGGTTTACCTGCACACATACTTATATGTATATATATTTAAATATAGAAAAGATAAAATTAATTTCAAATAATGGTTGGTAGTAATGAAGCTCCCATTTGCTAGTGATATGGAGAATTAAGCATTACTAGGACTTAATTTTCGCGGACGTAGGCAGACTAGCGATTTATGGAACCAATTTATTAAAGGAACTTTAATTTACAGTGAGATTTTCTAATTAAGTAATTTTAAAATATTCAAAATGCTTATTTGTCACTTACAATGCACACTATCTCAACCGTTGGAAAACTACGTGTTTTTTTGAAATTTAGGTATGCTATAAAACAGCATTTAATTAAAATTATGAAAAAATTAAAAATCGAAGTTGCATCTTTTTAAGTTGTTTCTGATCATAAAATATTATTTGTTCAATTGCATACAATAAGCGAGGTTTAGTGATGGAGCCAAATCTTGGATATCGAGTTTTCGATGGAAACAGTGGAAATAAACTATTTTTAGAGAGATGTCAGTCTATCTGTCGCTCCGTCTGTCTGTCGATCTGTCTGTCTGTTAGTCTGTCTGTCTGTCGATCTGTCCGTCTGTTGGTTTGTCTGTTTGCTTGTCTGTCAGTGTGTGGACTCGTGTATCTACAGTTCGGCTGAACCGATTTTGATATTATGTGAGTTAATTTCGGCTATATGACGGATTGATAAACCTTTCAGCCTCGGGAACTGGATATTCTGAACTAACTGTCGAACGTTTCAGGGAATTTGAAATGCACACAGCGAAACTCTACTCAGAGTCTTACTGGTGTCTAAAAACTTACTAAAATTATAAAGAAGTGTACTTTCACTAAACTAGACAATATAAATTGTGGCCGGTTATGTGCTAACCACACCAGATCTTTTTTATTATGAAGCTTAAGTTTTTATTTAAAAATACCTAAGATTTTTTAAGTAGATTCAATTACACTGTACTCTACTAAGGACTTAAGCTTAGTAATCCGTTTATTTCAAAAAATAACCTCATATTATCAAATTAAATTACTTAGCAATCAAAAAAACTTAATCCGCAGTCTATGCAATATAGTAAAGTAATAAGAAAATTCAACAAAACAAAAAGTCATTGGTTAAAATAATCATTAGTCCAATATTTTATTAGAAGCAATTATATTGAGTTTTACTAAAGACACGCCACTTCATATAAAATTTTTCACATTTTTCGTTTAAAAATGATTTAAAAATCATTCTACAACCTCTTTTCAGATTGATGATTTGGGTATTTTTTAATATTTTAAATAAATTTTTAATAATAATGCCATCTAAATCTAAATTCAAAATATGTACACATTAAAAATTAAAATTATGACATTTTTATAATAAAAAAAAGTACGTATAGGGTTGCCAAAAGAGGCGATGGTTTTGAACTCTAAATATGAATATAAGTATGTATATAGATACAAGTAAAGTATTATATTTTACAATAAAATACTATTAGAAATTGAAAAGCGAAATATTATAATAATAAACTTGCACACACACACTTGCATATACTAACTCATAAATTTTATATTATGTAGTTTAGTTTTACATTTTAATGGTCTTTTATATTTTGTTTTCGTTTTCTGTTTGAAAAGGGTTAGACAAGTACAAATTGTTTTAAATTAAAGAACCAAACTCAAATTACAATAATAAGAATGTGACTACGCCTATATATGTGCATACTCTTATATACCCATTTATATTGTTATAAGAGAATTAAAATAATAGGGTTCTGAATATTGAAATTGAAGTAATAGAAGGAAAAATATCTATGAACTTAAATTTAGTGATTGTGTCTAAATAAATTTGGAATTAGAGTGTATATGAAAAATTAAAATTATATTTAAATAAAAACAATGACAAAAAAAAATATGGAAGGATAAGAGAAAATGTTAAAATATTGCTCAGATATGTTATAAAATTTTTGATTTAA